AAGACAACATATATCATTAAATTAACATCGCATCAAATCGTCCAAGTTCCAAAGCTTAAAGACCAACTTGATTGCTTTTGGACAGGAACTGATTCAATATCGTAAAAATCTTATTCTCTTCTTTATTTGTTTTTTCATGCAACAAATAAGTCTGAATTATTATAAGTTATGGACATGATTTATTCTATAGAGGAGAAACTACAAAACAATCCTTCGCCACAACAAATAAGCCAGATAAACAGCATCTACAGTCCACAGAAACTTGCCATATGAAACCATAACTCACAAGTATTGCACATATGAATACGTTCAACGCTATCAGCTTGTGGCCTGACCAATCATGACGAATGTAGACAGAACACACATTTGTGACGGATAGCAAAACACAGATTCAAGCAAAAACTAACGCAAACAAATAAAGATTCAGACTCATATCTCCATGTCCCAAGATCAATCAAACCTCGAACATAACCTAAAATAAAATCAGATATCAACATTGCTAAGGAATAAAAGTGTGGATAATTGAATTGGGTTTTCATATACCTTGAAAGGAGGGATATTGAGTCGTTCGAGTTCAGGCGCCATGCTAAATACTTTCTTTCCATGATCAGCAGCGTAAAGATCACGTTTCTCTACTAGATGACCCATTCTGGCTGGATCACGACCCACAGTGTAAGAGTTAGCACCCAAATCGATTCAAGCCTTTGCGTGCCATTGCACTTCAGATGGACAACCATCGTAAAGCATAGGAGATGGGAATATCAAATTTGAAACCACTGTTGTCTTTGGATCGAGAACACCGTCCTCTAGCACCTGTTTTAGAATCATAAAACCCCATTTAATATTTCAAGAAAACAGCAAAATTTGTTGCTCTTAATCAGATACACACAAGCAAGAAGAACATTTTTTTTACCTTCTTATACTGCTTCATCCACCAACTTATAGAGGAACATCATCAAGAACTCTCCTACATAAGGCAAACCGTGAGCAATACTACCCCAAGTTCTGGCTATCCGCTCTTCCTTGGGAGGCTTGTAAATCTCAATGCTGATCATAAAATCAAGAATTTTTCAGCACTTGCTCATAGATAAGTTAAAAAACCAAAACGAAAGCTCAGTTTCTTCCAAAATAATGGTTTTGGTATTTTACCAGAGGCTTTGAAATAAAGGAGGATTATTGCTGAGACTGTAAGTAGAAGGTGCTGCTTTGCAGTTTGAACCGCTTGGAAGAAAATGATGCCGCTGAAGATGAGTCTTTTGGTTTTCGTTGTGAAGGAGAACCACCCCATTTCTTGTGTTTCTCTTTCTGCATAACTGGGTCAACTTCTACCACAGAATCGCAAGATAGACAATACGGAGATAGATCCCCATATTAGAACAGATGCAATGACCACTGTCTACCCTTTTGTTCCAACTCAACATCATATGTATGTTGTGCAGAGAAACTCAGAAAATTAAAGAAAAATGTCTTGTTCTGGAAACCCTCGCAACAACCATCTTCTATTGAGCTTCCACTTGTAGCCTGATTCACATATCTTCTTATATTTTCGTGGGGGAGACTTGAAGAAGAGCCAGTGGCAACTCTCCATTCTGGTGGAGAAGTTAATTGCCAGATCCCAAGGAAACGAATCAAAAATGGCGGCTGTTTGATCCAGTGTGAGAACACTGACTTGATGCCCTTTCAAACGGCTTATCAGACAGAGCAGAGCAGACCAGACCACTTATAGAATTTGATACATTGTCTGTGATTTTCATATGTTAAGCAGATTGAAATCCACTGGATTTATGTGCACAAATGGGGCAATAATGAAATAGATACTTAAGAAGTTGAGATAAGATATTCATCGTCTTCTTAGGGTTATAGTCCAGATATCAACCCTCATCTTCAGCTTTTATTTCTTCGTTTTTCTTAGAGTTATAGCCTAGATCCAAATCATGTTGATGTTCTTCATCTTCTTCTCCAACATTTTCAAAGTATTATTCTTTCTTTTCAAATAGGAGTCTGATAAAATGGATCACAAGTTTATCTTTAAAGTTTAAACATACAATAAACAAAGAATGGATACTTGAAAGAGAGAAAAAAGGAGAACGTAAATATAAAAGAAGCAAACAAGATCGTACCTATTAGTTCTATGGACCTTTTTGTTGTAAAAAGTATATCAATCACCAAGATAAATCACAGATTCCAAATAGCTAATTTCAAAAAGGAATTTAATTACTAATCGATATAACATAAAATTTTATATTTCTTGTCTTTTATATGCTCTTCGTTGCAATAAAATACATAATTTTGCTTCAAACTAATCATATACCAAAAGTTTTTACAAAAAGATTAACCAAGAAAATATTAGTGAAATGTTTCATTACCATCAAAAACTTCGTTGTTTTGGTACGTGATCTGAGCAAAAAAAAAAATGTATCCAGTGTTTAGTCTTTTTGGTTGAGTTGGATGGACCTCAAAATTTCATTCCTAATTCAAATGAAAACTTGTACTCTGAATCTAATTATCATTTCGCATCACATTATGCAAAGGTGTGGCCAAAAATACACTATTTATATTTGTAGTGTACCTTCATATATACGGCATTCTTTTGTTTCTTTAAGTCCCTTTAAGACGTCATTCAACATCTACATTTATATTTGTTGAACCAAAAGGTCAAATATAAAAGAAAACAATATAAAAGCAATGCCATTAGCTTGGGTCACCACAACTTTTAATAAGGTTAGCATAATACATACTACTTTTGACTTTACAAAATCAAAACGAATCCAAACACTACATGTATAGCTTGTGTCATTACTGGCTATTGGTATATACCATATTTGGCACTTTATATAGGAATTCGATTGATACATATATTTAAACTATTGCGTATTTCTATAAATTACTAATTAAGTGCTATCAAGACCGTACAATCATAATATAACTTTATCATTTAAATGAATGTATATTTGTATTGAATGCATCATTCCCTCTACTTAATATTTTCGAATAACAACATTCAAGTCAACATGTTGCAATGGACACGTTCGATTGTGTTGAATGTAGGTTTTGAGAATCAACCGATTCAACCCTTGTATACTTTGAATTTTAGTCTTGAAATTAATCTGACTAAAAATATATAAAACCGATTTATATACAGTCCAAATTTTATATTTAGTTGGATTCATTGTGATTATTTGTAAAACTCTTAAGTTCTGTACAATGTTTTTTATAAGAATTTTCGTTTCAGGTTTGCTTTTTCATATGTAGAGTAGAAATACTAGTATATTACCGAATAATATCGAAATAGTTTTTGTTTGTGTGTTTGATTTCGTCCAGCTATGTTCCGACTTTTTAATCTTTCTTACGCATTAGATTCTGTCCTATTTTTGTATAATGTTAAATTAATTATGAACTTATGATGATTTCGGAGAAGGTCAATTTAGCTTAGTCAACAAGTTTAAGCATGCATTCAGCAGGTGTCACTGTGTAAAGTGTAAAGTCTATACACCTTGGTGTTTGATTGGTTGCTCCTGGGTCTTCTCTTTATTTTTTTTTAAAGAGAAAAACAGTCTTTATCTCCTCATATATACTTAAGAATTTAAATATTCACACATGAACTTTGCAACACCTTCAAACCATATTTCACAATTCACATATATCATAGATCAAATTCTAATATGTCCATATTTTTCTACAGTAATATCATTACAAAATGCCCACCCTATAGCTAAAAAATGGGAAACGTGGGTTTAGTTGAAGATCCGAAAATAATAATATGTCAATCTTTGTTTAAATCACTAATTAGTTAACAAAATAAATATTGGTTCGGTTTCAAACCAACCTGAGACGTTTGGGTTGAGAAAAAACTTCAACCATTTGGTTATGTATCGAATATGGTTTAGTTTGGGTTGGTTTATGTTTGGTTGGTTTGGTTTAGTTCAGTTTGATTTGGTTAGATTCTGTTTCAAACTGTCTCCATTGCATTATCACTGAATAAGCATACTAAATCTTTTGTTAATCATATCATAAAAATTCAGTATCCTTTAAATAACCACTTTGTATGTTTTGCTTTTTAAAACTATGAACACTCTTTAAGTGATAGAGTAACTAGCCACATCTCCTGAGTCCTGATTTATATTATCTACACATAGTCATACTATGTATATGGTGGATCTATTCTATGAGATTTTTTTTTTTTTAAGGAATCTTTTTTCTACAAGAAGTGTGTTTAAAAAAAATGAGGAAAACAAAAAAAGGGATCGACACGTTTTGCCGTAAATGCAAGTGTTTGGTCCACAATCTCAATGCTCTTTGTCCCCTCGTCATGTACTTTTACAGCTGTCGAAACCCACATCCATTTATAAGTATCAATTTTGTAAATTCCATTTATTGTTACAAAATACAGAATTCACAACCATCTACCTTTTTATTTTTTTTTCTTGTCATTGTATTATTTTTTTTCCGACAAAATAAACTCTTTTCATCTTTGTACCATTTAATTAATTACCTGACTACGAGAAAAAAAAATTAGCTGACTAAACCAAACCCGCTAACGTTACGGTTACGATGATCGACCGTCTTGACCGCTGTGATCGATATGGTATATACTCATGTGATAAGACATTCCATATATAACGCTCGAGGAAAGTGAAACGTTTCCATAAATATATAAAATACTATATAAAAAACCATATAACTCTCGAAAAAATTGACGTGATGCTGATCTTCAAGTGAGCCGAATATTTTAGCAGAACGGATATATACGAGTCCTATATATATATATTGATATGTACGATTTTTCTACGATAAAAGCGTTCTAAAAAGAGTTTCAATCAAATCGCCATAGTTAACCTACAAAATATCCCACCTGACCCGTTCGTATTGAATTCTATTACGGAAATAATATTTTGAGTCATATGACTTGAACTAAAATTTCCAAATAAAAATGGTTAAAAAGAAAAAAAAAAAAGTGGAAAAAAGTGAATGAGTCCAAAGCATGAAAGTCTAAAGCAACGACTTCTACAAATAGGAAAGCAGAATGAGAGTTGAAGCACTTCAAAGCTTCATTTCTTTGCTACTCTCTTCTCTCTTCTTTTTTTCTCTCTTTCTCATTCTCAAAAGAACAGTTTTATTTGGATGGACGAGACACAACAGGAACTAACGCAAGAACAAATAATGGAGTTTAAAGAGGCGTTTTGTTTGTTTGACAAAGATGGTGATGGTTGCATCACTGCTGATGAACTTGCCACTGTGATTCGCTCGTTGGATCAGAATCCGACCGAACAAGAGCTTCAAGATATGATCAATGAGATCGACTCCGATGGTAACGGCACCATCGAGTTCTCTGAGTTCCTCAACCTCATGGCCAACAAAATCCAGGTTCTTTTCTATTTTACATTAATTATAGTCTTTTCATTATATATATGAAAGTAGATCAATTACTCATATTCGGTTTTTGTATTTGTTGATTAACCTTTTTTTTTTTTCTTGCAGGAAACTGATGTAGATGAGGAGCTGAAAGAAGCATTCAAAGTGTTTGACAAAGACCAAAATGGCTACATCTCTGCCAGTGAGGTTAGCATAGTAATTAATGACACTTTCCTCTCTTAATCATAATTAAATTGATACTTTTGCCTCTCTTTTTTGGTTGCCTTTTTATTAAAAAAAAAAAAAACAAAAAACTCTTCTAAGTTTTTCAATTATTTTCGATGTCTGTTATGCAAATCTATCTATGTTTTTATATATTTTTATTCGTAGTTAGATATGTTTTGATCAGGTATTATAGAACAAACATCAATTCGATGTTTTTAATTAATTCAGTGATTGGAGTGGAGGCATACCGATATATAATTATGATTGATCGTATTTGTATCTAATAATTCAGTATCCAAAATGGGTGATAGAGGGGAAAAAGAGTGGATTATGTACTGTGCATAGATTAGTTATATACATGTTTTGTTCGAAAAATCGACCGTATAACCGCTTAGGTGTTTCTTGTGATACCTGCGATATAACTTGTTTCTCTACTTGAGTGGTGTGCCTTAGGACGGAATTTAGCACTTTTGCATTTAATTTGAAAAAGGATCATTCCAGCTATAAATCATAGTTAGCTAGAATTTTTTGAATTAATGACAATATCAGACAACAAGGCTAGACAATATTTCGAGTTTTACAAGAGATCCTTTAGGTGTCTTATTCATTTCTATTCATATTTGAAATTTAGACAAGAAATAACAAAACAGATATGGCTATTTATTTTGTTGTTATAGTTAATCAAAAAGTGTTTGCGTCGTAGAAAGGTAAACTGTTTGAGGCTTCGAGCTAGCTGGCATTGTGACTTTTGGAGATAACGAGGTCAAAAGAAATATTTTAAAATGTTGTTAATATTTAGTAAAATGTGTATGATTCTATTGTTTTATTGGGCGGATCACATGTCACTCTCACGGTCTCACAGTGCAAATAATATATATACATATTCTTTTCACACACATAATTTATTTTCTTTAACCATCTTTCTCCATTTATATCTTACGATGTTTTGATAACAACACGACTAGGTGACAAACAAAATCAAAAATATTACTCATATTCTTAAATAGATAATGTTTTAAGATTTAGTATTGTTTCACAAAAGATGATGTTTTAGAAGTATTTAATGTTATTTTATTTGTAAATTAAAAAATACTTAATTTACATTGGTTGTAAGAATATTAAATTTCTGAAATAGTATTGAAAAGTGTGAATAAAGGTTATACATTTATTGAAAATAGCAAAATAATTTAAAAAAAAATAAAAAGTAATTAATAAAAATATGTATTTATTGCTTCTTAATAAATGTGAAAATACTAAAACATCATCTATTTAGGAACAGAGTATGAAACTACACAAATAATACCCTTTTTTCTTTACTTAAAAACATCATTTAACATCGTAAATTTTGATTTATAATTGCAGTTGAGGCATGTGATGATCAATCTTGGGGAGAAGCTAACAGATGAAGAGGTTGATCAAATGATAAAGGAGGCAGATTTGGATGGTGATGGTCAAGTCAACTATGATGAATTTGTGAGGATGATGATGAACAGCGGTTAAATTGCAAATCAATTTTACCCGCTAATGTATTATCTTTTCTATATTTGTTAATCCATTTTCTTCTTCGATCTCAGAATATCATATTTCCCTTTTTCCAATTAAATTCATTTAAGCTTTTCACATTCAACCATAGAATAGTTCTTTTTATTTATTTGAATTCTTAATATGTATATCTGGTGTATAGTATATTTATTTAGCTATTTATTGAAAACGTAAATCAGATTGAGTATCTAGGAAATAAAAGAAACATGACTAAATCATTGTTTAATCATGTACTCTATCTGTTCAGAATTATTTGATGTTTTAGGAGAATTTTTTTGTTCAGAATTATTTGATATTTTCACTTTTCAATGTAAAATTTAATGAATTTTTATTGTTTTTGACTTTTTATATTCTGCAAATTGTTTTTTTATTGGCTAAATTATATTTAACTGAATTATAAATAATATTTTTAATGTAGAAAAAATAAAAATTAAATGAATTCTTAATCTATGTGCAAATATTCTAAACAGAGTGAGTACTAAAGACTTCTGTGCCTAATCACACATCTAAGTAATAGAGTTAATGGTTATGGGAATTAATCGATAATTAAGGTTTAATTCGTTTGCCAAAACTTTATATTTTATAATTTGTAGTTTATAAACTACTAAGCTGATGTAAACATAATTCGATTTATATTATATTATACGTCAGAGTATTTTATCTATTATTAACTGAATATCTAACCAATTAGTGTTGGGATTAGTTAAACACCTAACCGATCGATTAATGGACTATTGTCCCATATTTGAGAGAATGGAAAGATCTCGGGCTATTTCGGTTTTAATTTTAAGTATTAAACACTCGGATGCGCATATAAAAGCTTGGTTGGTACAATCATAGTCATATTCTAAATTTCATAAACTTGAGATTTTATTCGGCCTTTATGTTTGCGACTGCCAAGAAATATATTAAAATAAACCCTTTTGTCAACAAACCAAAAAAAAGCCTAATTAAAAGTAAAAAAGCAAAGAATAATCATTTTGAATGTATATACGCATCTAAGATAGACATACTTACAGAGTTACATATCTCCTTTTACGTTGTTAGAAAACAAATAGCAATCTTCTTTCACATGATCACATCACCTTTATAAACAACCAAGCTATCTCTGTTTTCTCTGTGAATACTGTCTTTTTTTTTATATATTCACAACGTAACCACGTACCTCTGATATATTTTATTGAAGTTTTAATGTTTTATCGTATCCTAACTTGATCTCTGGAGAGGAGAGGGCAAAGGTAAAGACGACGAGGTCAATATATTATCAGATTAAGCTGAGTTAGTTACACCTCAGTATTTATATCTCACACATTATAATAACCGTCACATAACCAAACTGCTTAATCATACTAAACATATATATATATATATATTGTACATTTAGTTCCAATTAAACTCTTAAGATATGTAAATTAAAGAGCATGTTATGGATTCTCATTTTTGCTATTAGAATCTTAAGCAATTCCGATAGCACATTCTTGTGAAAAGATCAACTAATTGATTGTCTGACTTCACATGTAATGTCTACAAAACTCTATTTTGCGACATTTCTCGACCATTAAAGCATCATTTAAATACACCCATTACATGGGTTCGATTGTTTTGCATATTAACAACATTTATTCATTTACTATGGACCAATGGGCCGACATGTATGGTATCCCTATAAAATAGCTTTAGACAAGCCTTAGAATTAGCCTATTTCCTTAAATTGTCATTTATACAAATGATATGACATACTTGAGATTGAGATGCTTTCTATGCGTCAAAAAGAGTTTGTTCGTCCTTTTCCCCCCTCTTTTGCTTTTCTTTAATTTTTGGGTCTTTTCGTCATTCGCTAATCTGTTTCTTCCATAACACGTTATCCTGTAGTTCACCCAAAAAATCTATACCTAGACCAGCACAGGTAGGGCCGGTCCGATAAGTTTGAGCGCATAAAACCCAAAAACTTATTAATAAATTTTTTTCACAAAATGCTGTTTTTGGGATTCGAAACTTATGTTTTGAGCTATAAACCACTACATTACAACACATTTTTCAATAATTGATGTCCTTAATTTATATATAGTTTTGGCATACTGAAACAAAGACTTTATCTGTTTTAGCCCAAAGCCGGACTAGAAATTATATACAAGTCAATATTCGTTCCGGTTCTCTTTTCTCCCACCCCAGTTATTTCCTCCAGTTTCTGGTGTGCTCAGGTCGGTGGCTCTCTTCTTGACGGTAGGTGGTTCCGGCGGCTGTGAGACTAGAGTTTCCTGTCTCTCAATTTGTTTTTTCCGTTTTATGTTTTCTTTCTTTGGGCTCCTGGTCTAGCCCATTAGCGGTTCTCGGGTTGGATTTTTTTTTCTTTTTTTTTGTCTCTATATCTTTTCTTTCTTATCGCATCTTTTATATATGTAAAAAAAACTATAAAATTGTCAATATGAAAATTTTTTAACAAAAAAAGTCTATATTCGATCCTTAAGATTGAATAAAGTCTTTGTTTATTTGTTTTTGGCTTATAGACCACTTTTTTTTTGTTGACAAAAGGCAACTTACAGACCACTTTTAATACGAGTGAACACTAAAACAACATCTTCGATTCTTTCATGCCATCTCTCTTTAACTTAAGAATTCTAACATTCTTAATCTGAGAGATTTGAACTCTCGACTCATTTCTTTCCAGTTAAAACTAAAATCTAAGAGATATAGAAGACTTATCAATCAACGTAAATTGTTTATTTACAATTTTACATAAAGCTTACATAAATAATGTTCTTAACTATTATGGAAAGATCGAATTTATGACAGGACATAATTTTATGTGAATTCAAAGGTACCTTTTGATTAAAAAAAATTATGTAATTAATGCTGATGGAACCCTATTCCGCCATAATCTACCAATCTTAGTACCATTATCTTTCCACATGTGTTTTGTATATTAAGCTAATTAATCTTTTCAAAAGACGCGAATATTTTTTTCTTCTGTTTTTTCTTCACGGAAAATATATAAGAATATATAACGTATAGTATACGAAGATGTGACGATATTGCTACTTAGGTCTCTCCTACAAGAAATCCATGAATGGTGGTTGAGACTTGAGACTTGACTCTTGAGTTAGTTTTCATGACCCATGTAAATTCGGGTTTCCATGTCCTCAAAGTTAGTTTTTTAACAATAATGAGTAAAACACTTGATTTTTTTTTTTTTTTGATTGAGAAAGGTATATTTACTTGAAGTTATTATAGGAGTTACTTGTTGAGACGACCAAAACCCCATAAATTTTCGTTTGTTTTGCTTAATAACAAGATCTGTTAATTTCGCTAACAGAGCCGTATCTGAGAATTTGGGGGTTAAAAACAATTTAAGAACAAATATTTTTTTTGTAATTTGGGGGCTGAAAAATTTGTAAATAACCAAAGAAAAATTTTAGGGGTTATAGGCGGATGTTTCATCAGGCTGTCCCAAGATCCGGCCCTGCTCGCTAGTTAAGCCCATATAGAAATTACAAATTGCAAATATTTTGGTTAGGACAAACGAGCCCAGTCAGTTTCAATATCTTTTCGTTATCATACTAACAAACTCCCAGTCCCATATACAAATCTGTAGTAATCAACAAAATAGTTTATACTTTGAAAATTAATTATAAAATAATACGAACCTGATCTTTGAATTATTAAAAGTAAAATGTAGACTAACCATTCGATCCTGAACCCAAATCCTAAACTGTAACTCCATTTTGTAAAAACAATTTTTAAAAATTAGCCTATTTCCTTAACTTTTCATATATACAAATGTTAAAAGTAGTTTAGTTTGTCAAATTACATGAGAAACAAACATACAAACAAAAAAATCTTGTATGAGATGCTTTCTGTTGGTCAAAAATAGTATTTTCGTCTTTTTTTGTTTCCCTTGCTTATTTTTAATTTGTATGTCTTTTTTTCATGGGTGATTTGCATCAATATTATGTTTGGAGGAGCAAATTAAGCGCATGACATCCAACAAGAGTCAATTCACTCAGTAGCGGAAGTCAACGAAAAAGTAAGGGTGGAAATGACAGTATGCTCCTTGCTCCCCAAAAAGTAGACATCAGTTTTTTGTGGCGGGTAGGGACCACACGGACTTAGCTAAAGGCAGACGCTACCATGTTTTTGAGACAGTAACATCACTTACTTTTTGTTCCTTATTTGCCCGCCCGAGGTGTTTTGTCGTGTTGTCAATTTGTACGGATAGGTTTAGTGGAGGGGACCCTTGGGATCAAATAAATAGCTAAGACGAAAATTTCCATAAACCGCCGCTAGTAAACAATCGTCTAGGGTTTGTCTACTTCTTGGTTTCGAAGGTATAACTACTTCTGAGGATAAATTATGACTACTTAACATATGTAGTTGGATATTTATGACCTCTTGACCTTTGTTTGTGTAGATGGCAGGAAGGCAAATGGTGTTGTTGGTGAAAGGGAAATGGTTCGAACAGACCAACGGAGTGTGGACTTTCCTTACGGACCGCAGAGGGAACACTAAAGCGGTTTTCCTAAGCTCGCGGATGAGTTTTTGTGAAGTTGTGAAGCTCGTTAAGGAAAAACTGTGTATCAAATAAGATGTGGGCGTAACATTTACTTTCCAGTGGCCGGCATTCATGCTGATGGACGACGGCCGCGACGCCCCACCTGTGCTGATGTCGTCGGATGATGAAGTGTCGCTCTTTGTGGAAATGAGAGCGGAAATCGACCAGCTCAATCTGTGCGTAGCCACAGATGAAAATACGGACGATGATGTTGTGAGGGTTCCTGGGGAAAATGAAGAAGCTTTGGTTGTCTACGGCACGACGGAGGAGGATGGGGCGGCTGGTGATGGTAAGCAGAATATAATAGCTACTTATTGAGTAGTCCGTTATTTGATGTTGGTAGTTTGTCTATGACGTCGGAGTAGTCAACTATAAAACCGTTAATATCCTAATACGAGATAGTTGTCTACCTATTTTGTACAGAACCTTGTCTACTGTGTCGGCGTAGTCAACTATTAAATCGTAGTTAACTACCTGTAATACAGACTTATTTGTTCGCGATGGTTACTATCACATAAATATTAGTAATGCTTCATTCCGATTGATGATAATAAACGACTACTAATAATTAAATATGTCGAAGTTCATAAAACACACAAACATAACAATAAGTCATAAAGGGATAAGTGTCTGAAACGATGTGACATGTTCGACAGGGAATAAGTTATTAAAACACCTGGATGCAATGTTGGCATCAAGCCGCAGGGTCCTTTGGAATTACGACATTAGCTAGAGAAGGCAGTTCGATCAAACATAGGAGATCATAAGCAAACTTCAGGGAAGCGTCACGAACAACATCATCACCCACAGCATTGTCCAGAGGCACATTTGCAGCGTGCAACTGAATAGACATGAGTGCCAGCACACCCAAATGACCTGGTCGTGCAGAAAAATAGTTAACTATCTGTAAACGTTTAACACGTATATGTATACTACTACAAATAGGAGATACCTAAAGTCGATGTCTGGAAAGTTGGTTTCACAATTTTTATTGTGAACGCCGTCAGGTCGTCTGCTTTCATCTCTGTATTGTATGCCACTCTTCTGATAAAATGTGGTAGAGACTGTGCAAGGGGCGCGACACTTGTCTTAAGTTTCATCTCTTTGAGTGTCGCATACGAATTCAGTACCAGAATCTCGTGGCTTTCAAAATCGATGCAAAGCCCCACCCAGTATCGGTCATCCACTTGAAAAGGGCAATAAATCCGCGCAACCTGAGTGTACCATGAGCGCCTGGCTTTGACGTATGCAGCTGAACCAGGAGGGAGTGAGACAAGTTTCTTCTTCGGGGGATTTGTGAAATGCGGAAGAAGTTCAACGATGCCGTGAAGGAACGTGTACTCGACAAAGTCATAAGTGCACCGATCGTCGTTCAATTCCGCCAGTTGATGACAGAATAACCTAATAATGCTGTCGATAGACTAATATAAAAGATAGAAGAGAAAGTATTCAGTTACATACTAGACACATTGAAAATAGTTAGCTATTGATAAATAGTTAGTTACTAATTACCATCACGGAGATCGGGAATTTCAGGTCAACAATTTCTTTCAAAATGTTGACAGAGAGGACAATCCCATTCCAACTAGGAAAAGTCCTACAGATAACAAGCGTTGCAAAGGACCCAGTGTTAACTACCGTCAAATAGTAAACAAAAATCAAATAAACGTTTACTTACCGAGTATCTTTCATTCTATTTTGTAGGAGGATGACTTGTTCGAAGTTTTGTGTAGGAAACCAATGCGACATGTCAATTGATTTATCAGACTTCTTCGGGCGTTTAGTTCGTGGGACTATATAGTCGGTCATCTGTGACGAAGGGACGGGTTGTCGTTTACTCTTGCGAATAGCTCCCTGTTCTTCACCTCCAGTCTTAGATGTTTGGACCATATTTTTCTCTTCCTGTGTAAGACCCAATGACCACACAGGAGGATCAACGCCTGCTGGAATTTTGATCTCTTTCTGGGCATTTGGGACATCATCTCCCAATCCCTTAAAGGGACATAAAAAAAATCATATATTAGTAGTTGACTACAGGAATTTGTAGGTCCTAACTAAACTGGTACGTCGACGAATTATCACCGAAAGATGAACAAACAGTAGTCCTCTACACGTAGCTAACTACTTTAACTTAGACTTCCTAGATGATTCTAAGGAAAAAGAAATAATAGAGTACAAACCGTTTCCATCTTTGTGCCGGCTGAGATCGCAGATTCAGGAATAGTGTGTTGAGTCTCCAGCATGATCTAGTATACATAAGTGTGTTGTCAAAATTACAAATAATTGACTACTTAGTAAATAGCTACATTAAACACAACTACTGAGTGATGATATTAATAAAGTTAACGAACCTGGGGTTCTGGTGGTACTTCTTTCTGGGGGACTGTTTGGTCGTTGGTCTGAACAGGTGTCACATCTTCCTGCGGGCTGGTTTGGTTGTTCATGTCAACAGGTGAAACCTCTTTAGCAGCATCGGTTCCGTCGTTGGTAACAACAGGTTGGACATCTTCAGCAGCATCGGTTTCTTCGTTGGTAACAACAGGTGGGACAACTTTATCGGCACCGGTTTGGTCCCTCGGCTGTACAACCTGATATTATTGTATCATATAATCGAGTACTAAGACACGAGATTGTATGCTTAACTAGTTGTATACTCACATATGGTGGTGGTGATGGAACAGGCTGGATTATTGACGGCTCTACATTAACCTACATTAACAAGACAAGTGTGAGTGAGTAGTTTAGTTGCAAGTATATGGCTATTAGTAGTTGACTACGTACCTATACTTGGTCTGATAAATCAGACAGCACACTCGCAATCTGGTTGCTCGCGAGTGTAGCAGCGTCTTGGACATCATCAACGTCAACTGGCATTTGTTTACCCACTTCGCCAACATCTCCAGATCCCTCAGCGTCAGGTTCCCTTCTATCTTCATGGGCATCACCATCGTAAATTTCAACAACATCACCGACATTGGTATCCACAACGTCGTCACTTTCGGTAGAAGGACTGCTTGAATCCTTGTTCTTTGTACCGTCATCGCCGTCATCTTCTTTTGATGGATCTGAGGACTTGGACTCCTCGGACGAAGAAACCTGTTGAAATCGTACGTGCTTGGCTCTTAGTGGAATGGACTTGACCCTACGGCCAAGCGGTCGCTTAGCAGGTTCTCGAACTTTAGGCGAAAGATCCTGTTGGCTCCGAATATAATCCTTAAAGGTACTCAAAGTGGAAGATACTTTGGAACGAAGGTCAACAAACTCGGTACGAAGACTTTTAATCTCTGATAATACAAACCCGGTCTCACGTACAACCTTTTCAAGCATGGAAGAAGCAGCAGAATCTAAATCCACATCAGAAGATGTGTTCCGAGACGATGACGCTGGTGCATTTGGCTGGTTTTGAAGAAGACTTGCACTTTCACCGCCATTCCATGTCTTCCTAGAAAATTTCTTGCCATCACTGATTGCTGCGAGTAAGTTGTCTACGGTTTCGTCCGGGACATCATCATCAAATGCGAAATCGGTATCATCCAACAGGTGTTCATCGTCCGGTAAGATTGCTGTGACAGCCACCTGTGATGATAAATTACCACGAGTAAGTAGCTACCAAGTATACACCTTTTAATAGTTCATTACTAATATATTCGCTGGTAGTAACCATCGCGAACAAAACAAATCTACACTACAAGTAGTTAACTATTAGAAGTTGATTATATAACACTAGGAACTACTATTACACTCCAGTCCTATGCGACATTTCAAGTAGTCTTAATTACCTGTAAGTAGACAACTAACAATCATACAATGTTTAAATTTCACGCGTAGGTAACTACCAGGTCTTTGATTATCAATAGATATCTACTGGTTAACATAACTTTTACGTGCCGTGGGTAGTCGCAATCCGGATGATAAATGAATTGACTACTAGTAACCAGTTACCAGTATTCCGAAATATATAACATACCTTGGTATTATTGTCGAGAGACTTCACATGAGGCATCGAGATATTAATCGGTTTCATAGAACCAGGCCGTACACTTGGGAATTCATCTTCTTCATCATCGTCATCCCTCAGGGTATGCTTGGTTCATTTACCTTTTACATCCTTCTGCAGAATAGAAGGAGCACACTCCAAAACAACCATCTGTAAAGCATGTAGAAAACCCTGAAAAGCACAGGTTGGCTGAGAAAGGTACGATGTCGTAGCTGTCCTAGTTTTGATGCTGTGAATAGTCAGATCAAAGGATTTTCGACCCCATGGATATTCGAGAAATTTATCAACATCTTGTACCAACATGATGTGCTTGGCACTAATCTTGGCATTTTTGGAGGTAGGACAGACAATACGGTCTATGAGGAGTAGGCATGCCAACTTGAATCTGGTAGCTTTATCTTTGTACGGTCGGCCGGCAAGGGTATTCGCTATCCATCCTGGGGTTGCATTCCTCTCAGAACCAAATAATTCAACGGTATATTTATTGACCTGGTCTTCCTTGAACTTTTTCGGCGGTGGTAAATTGGAGCAATCTAACCCCGTCGTAATAGCAAACTCTCTGATAGAAAAGCGAATTGGCTGCCCAGCAAAGAGGCACCAAAGCTCTTTTTTTTTTTTCGTAACCAGCTGTCTCGACAAAATGAAATGAAGAAATCTGACTGACGATGCTATCTTGTTGCTTGTTTCAATAATCTTTCCAAATTGGGACAGAGAGAGCTTCTCCATATGCTCTTCTTCCAAAGCATGACTGATAGTGTCGAGATAAGGTAGCTGGAAGTAAGTATTCACCTTTTTATTCGCCGGTTCGTTGCCTAAGGCAAACAGTCGGTCCGGAAACCGGGTCATGGATTGTACTCTGTAAAATAGATAAATGGCTATAAGTCAGTAACTACCGGTTGAATATAGTAGCCAATTAAACCTTAATAACTACAAGTAATCGTTTATTTGTAGATGAATAATTATCATAACAGGCAACAAAAAACAGTTGAAGAAAATAGCCAAATATTACCTAAATGACTACTGGTAATCAACTAACGTATTCATGTATACGCCAGTTACGTTCGATTATACAATCGAATTGGACATAAACTGGTTTGTGATAGAATAGTCGGTTACTTGAATATTAATTTTTATAATATCGGACCAAACCAAAGTCGGGTGTCACCCCGAAATCCCTAGAGTCCCAAGTTAGAAATAGTTGAAAACGATAAAACGAAAACCTAGATCTGAAATTGGAGCAGAAATGATATCAAATTCGAAATAAACTACATTTATTCATTGAAAATATACGACTATTACGATAATTATTTACTAATAGCCATCAAAATTCGAGTATGAAATCGGTTGTTCACGGAAGCCTCTGCGTACGGCGGCGGCGGCGAAACGGGATCTAAAGGATGGGGAAGTACAATAAACAGTGAAAGAGCTTACCTTTAAAATTGAAAGGGGCAGGGCAACAGAGACGACGACTGGGTCGTCGTTATCGGTGCGGCGGAGGCGGTTCGGACGCAAGAAAAAAAAAACGGTCGGTCACTGGGTGTCTTTTTAGGTTAAAGAAAAGCGTCGGGGAAGATGAAAGATAACAGGGAAGATGAAAGAGAATAAGGGATATAAAGAGAGAAATGACAGTTGCAAATAAGTTCGTGGAGTGAGAGAAGAAAAAAAGAAATGGCAGACGGGAACTTATGAAGGGCAGTAAAGGAAGTTATAATTGCGGTTTTTCTGCATTTTAAAAAAAAACGGTTATCAGAGGTTGTTAGCGAGAATAAAATTTCATTTTTCCCTCCTGCTTAATGGTTCAGAAAATTAAATATTGCTAAGATTAGAGGGTCCCAAAATAAATTGCACAACAATATTTAGTCTTACATTAATTAATACAGTACTTAAGAGCTAAACCCATCTGATAATAGTCAACTACATTGGAAATTGGTAATAGCTAACTAATAAGTAGGCAACTAATAGTAGTCGAATATAATAGATATTATGGTTTAATATAAGGCAACAACATACTCAACTAATTAGGGGTCTAATGAGAATTTTTCATGGTGGTAGTAAACGTAGAGGTAGCAGTGTTCGCAGTACATTAGCTGATGCTTCAAACGGCAGCTGGGGAAATCAAGGGCTAGTTGGGGTAAAGATGTATGACTATCAGGGACCACCATTTTCGTGATTAAATCCATCACTTGCTCCCCAATGGAGATCATATGCTCGATTTTTACTCTCCAACCAACCACACGGTCTAACATATCCATGCCTTTTGGATAGTGCCCAACAGCTGTAACACAGATTGCCAGCATTACAGTCGCCGCTTCAACTCCACCTTTTGAGGCTTGGTTCAAAAACCTCAGCGAACCTTCGATATCATTAGCAACCGTTATTCGGCTCATCCCATGGAGATAGAGTGCAATTGGATTACCTGAGTTGATCGCTGACTCAAAAAAGGTAGGGTAGTCCTGAATTAAACTCGGTCTCTTGACGAAAGCTGATATGTTAATAACCCTTGTCACAGATGGTTCCTTGAATGTTTGGTTCATGAACTTACAAGATGACGCAAACGAGCAAGCGTCTTCTGCAGATACCGTACCAACTCTTTGGAATATGCTAACTGCATCACGAATATGCGGAAACACATCATTTGCCAAAGGATTGACATTGGGGTTTCCGAGGATCGAGATATGCCTACGAAACACAACAGAAAAAAGAAGTTAACTATCAAGTTACAGTAGTCACTTATCATGAAAGTGAAGTATATGTTGTCCAATAGTTAACTACCCCAATTCTAAATGTAAATGACTACCGAAATTTAGTAGTCGATTACTATACACGACTATAGATCTGTAGATAAAACATCTGGTGGGTGAAGAAGACAATGAAACTGGCAAACATAATATTGATGCAAATCACCCTAGAAAACAACTGGAAAATCAGATCTAACACTTTAAGATATAAAATCGCGTGGGTGCGAGTGATAACAGAGTTCGTGTCATTCACTGTAGCGAAATGTCGGAAACACCTCAAGGAGTGCTAGAGGAGACAAGAAAAAAGGTTATACCTTCCAGAATCCGCCGTCGATTTAGAACTGGGTGACGTAGAAGACTCGCCGACCATGGTTGATATCCCAAAAAAAGACGACGTCGCTACCTAGCTTCAGCCGCCGTTCGTCTGATAAGAGAGAGAGAACTCAGATATTGAAGGAGAAAGGGAGAAAAAAGTAATACTGGCTTGTGACTGATTTGAAATTCAAAATGAATTTCATCGACCCAAGTTCCCCTATAAAGGCGTGGATAGAGAAATATGAATTAAAGGTAAAGTGGGATGAAAAAGAAAATTGTCAGATAAATTGAAAAATGTTAAGACATAAACTTTATCATATATTAAGTATGTTATAGTGCACTAAAGGTGAGGGGGTATTGGATACTTTCCACCCTATGGAAAAATTAGTTCTCGCACACCTAATTTACCTTTGTCGTTATGCTACCACACCAAAATTCTCTTTTTTCATTCGTTAATTCTTTTTTTCCTAAAACGTTATCCTGTAGTTCACCTAAAAACAAAAGAAATACAATTTATTCCGAGACCCGTACAGGCAATACGTATCCAATGTGGAAGAATTTTTGGTCAGTTGTAATTGACTATAAATTATATTATATACAAGTCAATATTCGATCCTTAACGTTGAGTAACTCTTTGTTTATTTGTTTTTGGCTTATAGAGTCCATTTAAATATATATATATATATATATATATATTATATGGAAAGATTGAGACTTTATGAAAGGACATAATATTTTTATGTGAATTTAAAAGATATCTTTCATAAAATGTTTATTTAGTTAGTGCTGATTTTCTGAAAAAAATGTAGCTTCCAAAAAATATTGTTTTAGCTAAACAGTTATAAAATGATTATTGTTTTTATTCGAACATTTATAACAATGTAGCAACAACAAAAAGCGCTAATTTAACAAAGGGAACAAAACACATGTCTTCAGCTATATGTAAGCCATTGAACCCTATTCCGCCATAATCTACCAATTTTAGTACCATATCTTTCCACTTTCCAACGACTCTTTCTCGCTTACGTTTTCTTCCATGATGTTTTATATTAAGCTAATCTTTTCAAAAGAAGCGAATATTTATTTCTTTTTTGTTTTTTCCTGACAAAAAATATATAACGTATATGAAAATGTGACGATTTTGCTAGGTACCTCCTACGAGAAATCCACTAATGGTGGTTGAGACTTGATGCTTGAGACAACTTGAAACATTTTTCCCCATGGAAATTCGGGTTTCCCGTTTCCATATCCCAGAGTTAGTTTTTTAACCAAATAAGTAAAACATTTTTCTTCTTGCATAACATTTGAAATTTCTCTACGCTTAACGATAAACTTCATGAGGAAGTTACTGCTTCCGACTTTACAACAATTCTACGTAATTTCTATGTTTTACCATTGTCATGAAAAAAAATAATAATAATTTAATCTGAAACGTAAATGTTAGATAAATAAGATCTATAAGTAAGGCCTAGGATATATGATATAGTTTTTATGTGGAAAATTTGAAAAAAAAAAACATAATAGACAAGTTTTACCCTAATTTGAGCGTATTTTGTCATTTATATATTACTTTAGAAGTTTTCCAACTTTTCCGAGGTTAGATACTAAAATATATGTTGACAACAAAAAGATACTAAAATATATATAAATAATATTAGCTAATCAATTTATTGTTGATTGGTTTCGAGTAAAATAGTCCATATTATATCAGAATTCAATTTATGCTATTCAATCTGATTCATAATCGATCAAACAAAAAATTAGTTTTATCGAAATCGACCTAACCCAAAATTGATCAGCTCGATTCAACCCAACTAAAAAAGCATCATCCTGAAATGACGGAACACAACTAAAACACATTACCGAGAACAAGCCACTATAACATCATTTGGTCTGCTTAATCATTTAAAACCCAAAACATATTCCATTTGATACGTGGTTTTGAATATTTTAAATTTAAGTTTGTGATCCAGTGTATCTGAGCACATGCTAATAAAATATCTGTTTCAGGGCTAATTTTTCAAATGTTATGTTAGTTCATTTGTGCGCAAGTTTGCCATTTATTTTTTTTTTAAATTGACATATTGTTAAAAATTAAGTCCATATGAGAAATGTTCCACATGGAAGACTTCAAACATTTTAAAGGGGAAGCTGCACTATAAATAAGACTCTTTATCTAAAAATAATATTTAAATATTTTAGTGAGCTATGGATTTTTAATAATTTATTATTTGTGGATTAAACTGTATTAAGAAGAATTATCTGAGCACAGGTTAATGAGGCATATGCTTCAAAGCCAAAGACTTAAATATTTTTAGGGGCCAATTTTTCAAGTGTTATGTTAGTCCATTTGTGCGCAAATTTACCATTTATTACTCTTTTTTTTTAAATCGGCCCATTGTTAAAAATTAAGCCCATATTAGAAATGTCGCACATAAGACTTCCAAAAATTTAAAGGGGAAGCTGCACTATAAATAAGACTCTTCATCTAAAAATAATAATTAAATATCTTAGTGAGCTGTAGATTTTTCATAATTTATTATTTGTGGATTAAGCTGCGTTAAGAAGAGTTTTATTTTAAAAGAGTAATTAATTATTTAGTTGTAAAAGAGTAATTAATTACTCAAGTGAGTTGTGGATTTTTAGCACAAAAAAAAAATGCTTCCAAAATTCTTTAGAAAAAATGCCTCTGAAATTCTGATGTTGATAGTAATAATTTATATATGGAATTAAAGCTTTTACGAGATGTTTTACCCAAAGAAATAAATAAGCTGGTTGAGGTGTTGGATTTTCTGAAAAGGATGGAAATGTGTTATCCACAAACATGGATTGCATACTGTATAATGATGACGATTTCAGTTTCGGTTGTCACTACAGAAATTTTTTTTTCAAAGTTGAAACTCATAAAATACGTATTTACAATCAACTATGTCACAAGAAAGACTAAACGGACTATCGACGTTGTTAATCGAAAGTGCTATGGTTAAAGAACTTGATTATACAAGCTTGATGGATGAGTTTGCAAGTAAAACTGCAAGAAAATTCATATTTCATAAAAATCATAAATCATGTATGGATATTATTTTCTTTTGATATCGAATAAAATTAATGTTCCCTTTTAGAGAACAGTAGAATTAAGAGTGTGATATTTTTTCGTTACCATATTTTTTTATATAAAAGATTAAGGGACCAACTTTTTTTGCTCGCTTGTAGTTTAAAAATTTTCAAAGACGACTCTGGATCCAGTTTAGCAAAAAAATCAAAAAGGAAAAGTTTGTGATACTCAAATGAAATGCAATGACAGTTAGAACGCAAATTAGGATAGCCGAGTAGCCGTTACTATGAATTCGAAATCCACACGGTTCAAACTCTCCAAATGATAAATTAAGTATTTTGTATAAATAATTGTCTTATTACCATTTCCTTAGTCGCTAATCAAAGAATATGTTAAGGGATGTACAGTACAAGTAGGCATGTCGATTGACCAATACGCCGACTTTCCCTTCATTCTTTTTATATTGAAAACGAATGTCAGATAATACTAAACCTAAACAAGTACTAGACGCAATTACGCATTAATACATATACTACTACATATCCTATATTGAAAATAATACATATCAATAATATCATATAGCATTAAGAAAATTATCATGTTGACCGTATTGACTTTGTCAAAAAAAAATGTGGACCATTTTGTCTAAAGAAAACAGGTCAGGTCCACGAGTTGTGACACAGATCTTTATCTCTAAAGCTTGTGGATAACACTTGTGTCCCTGAAAAAACTCGAAACGGTTTTGAATGACAGGTTCTAAGAGATTTCACTGTTCACATCGATCAAATTCGTATTTTTATATTTCTTATATCTATTTAAATTTTCTATTAATTTACGTTTATTTTTTTGGTTATATAATTTAATTTAAGTTATGCGGCTTAGTTTTATTGGTTAAAAGTTTTGGAGAGGAAAATATATTGTTCATTTTAAAACTCTTTTCACTTATTTAAAAATCTTTAATTGATATATTAGTATATTAATAGTTTACTGTTGCATTTAATTTAGAATTTAATGTCGATTAATTGAACGAGCTTTTAGGCGATATATTTGGTGAAGGTGGCTTTCGTTTGTATTGCTAGGAAACTTCGTGGATGATTGCAAAACCGACTCGTGAACTAATAATATAAAAGCAATGCAGATTGCGTTAAACATCTTACATCAGCTTGTATTTTGCCTTCACATTCAATATCGCTTTCACAGAGATATTCACAGCTTGTTATTTTGTTTTCACTCTTTTCGGTTTAGCAACTCCGGTTTAAAAGATACCAAAATCAATGCCAACAAACGTTCCTGATCATGCAGAGAAGAAGAACAATTTGGTGGGCGTCGAGTTTCTTTTGGAACTCCCCAAAACCCTAAGCAAGTCAAACAAGAAATGGCAATTAGCATTCATCAAGATCTACTGCTCAAGAACTCTCCTCAACTGCGCCAAACACACCATCCAAAAACCCGGTTTGTTCACTCGTTCCCTTTCCTACACCACCATTAATCTTGACCATCACCAAGATCATCACGGAGACTTCAAGATCGATCAAGAAACACTAAACGATCTCGTCAAAAACAAGAACCAAGAGAAACTCGACTCTCTTGGTGGTCCTAACGGCTTAGTCTCAGCTCTCAAGACAAACACGCGTCTCGGGATCAACGAAGAAGCCGACGAGATCCAGGTTAGGCGTTCAACGTTCGGGTCCAACACTTACACAAGACCTCCATCGAAGAGTCTCATCCATTTCGTGATCGAAGCTTTCAAAGACCTCACGATTCTCATCCTTTTAGCCTGCGCAACGCTCTCTCTCGGGTTCGGTATCAAAGAGCACGGATTAAAAGAAGGATGGTACGATGGAGGAAGCATATTCGTAGCGGTTTTCTTGGTGGTTGCTGTCTCTGCGGTCAGCAACTTCAGACAGAACAGACAGTTCGACAAACTCTCCAAAGTAAGTAGCAACATCAAGATCGATGTCGTAAGAAACGGACGTCGTCAAGAGATTTCGATCTTCGACATTGTCGTTGGAGACATCGTTTGTTTGAACATCGGAGATCAAGTTCCAGCGGATGGAGTGTTCGTCGAAGGACACTCGTTGCACGTCGACGAATCAAGCATGACAGGAGAAAGCGATCACGTCGAGGTAAGTCTAAACGGAAACACGTTCTTGTTCTCAGGGACTAAAGTCGCTGATGGGTTTGGTAAAATGGCGGTTACTTCCGTTGGAATGAACACAGCTTGGGGACAGATGATGAGTCACATCTCGCGTGACACAAACGAGCAAACTCCATTGCAAACTCGTCTCGACAAGCTTACTTCTTCGATAGGTAAAGTCGGTTTACTCGTAGCGTTCTTGGTTCTTGTTGTTTTGTTGGTCCGTTACTTCACGGGAAGCACGAGAGACGAGAGTGGAAACCGCGAGTATAACGGAAAGAAGACGAATAGCGACGAAATCGTGAACGCGGTGGTTGAAATGGTTGCGGCTGCGGTTACGATCATCGTGGTTGCGATACCTGAAGGATTGCCATTAGCTGTGACATTGACATTAGCGTATTCGATGAAGAGGATGATGAAAGATCAAGCTATGGTGAGAAAGCTCTCTGCTTGTGAGACAATGGGCTCTGCAACGACGATTTGCACCGATAAAACCGGTACTTTGACGCTTAACCAAATGAAGGTAACCGATTCCTGGTTTGGTCTCGAACCAGGAACTTCTTCTTCTTCCTCTTCTCTGTCTCGGAAAGTTGTGGAATTGTTTCATCAAGGAGTTGCAATGAACACTACAGGGAGTGTGTTCAAGGCTAATTCAGGAACAGAGTATGAGTTTTCCGGTTCTCCGACGGAGAAAGCGATTCTGAGCTGGGCGGTTGAGGAATTGAAGATGGATATGGAAGAAGTGATTGAAGAACACGATGTTGTTCATGTTGAAGCTTTTAACTCAGAGAAGAAGAGAAGTGGCGTATTGCTGAGGAAGAAGAAGAAGGGAGAGATCACAGTTGTTCATTGGAAAGGAGCTGCAGAGAAGATTCTAGCTATGTGTTCTACCTTCTGCGATGGTTCTGGAGCTGTAAAAGAGATTGATGAAGATGATAAGATCAAATTCGAGCAGATCATTCAATCAATGGCAGCTAAATCCCTACGTTGCATCGCGTTTGCGTATTCAGAGGAAGAAGAAGAAGAGAAGAAGAAGCTAAAAGAAGAGAACCTGACTTTACTCGGAATCGTCGGAATCAAAGATCCGTGTAGACCAGGAGTGAAGAAAGCCGTCGAGGATTGCCAATTCGCCGGAGTAAGCATCAAAATGATAACCGGAGACAACATATTCACGGCGAGAGCAATCGCCGTAGAGTGCGGGATCTTAACACAAGAAGACGAGACGAACAAAGAAGCTGTATTAGAAGGAGAGGAGTTTCGAAACTACACACAACAAGAGAGATTAGAGAAAGTCGAGAGAATCAAAGTGATGGCGAGATCTTCCCCTTTCGACAAGCTTTTAATGGTGAAATGCCTCAGAGAGCTAGGTCACGTCGTGGCGGTCACCGGAGACGGAACAAACGACGCGCCGGCGTTAAAAGAAGCCGATATCGGACTCTCGATGGGGATCCAAGGCACGGAGGTTGCGAAAGAGAGCTCCGATATAGTGATCCTCGACGATAATTTCGCCTCCGTCGCGACGGTTCTCAGATGGGGGAGATGCGTTTACAACAACATCCAGAAATTCATACAATTCCAGCTCACCGTAAACGTCGCGGCTCTAGTGATCAATTTCGTGGCGGCGATTTCCGCCGGAGAAGTTCCGTTGACGGCGGTTCAGTTGCTGTGGGTGAATCTGATCATGGACACTCTCGGCGCTTTGGCTTTGGCTACGGAGAAACCGACGAACGATCTGATGAGGAAGAAACCGATCGGTAGATTCGCTCCTTTGATCACGAACGTCATGTGGAGGAATCTATTGGCTCAAGCGTTTTATCAGATCGGTGTGCTCTTGGTGCTTCAGTTTCGAGGGAGATCGATTTTTGGAGTGAATGAGAGAGTGAAGAACACTTTGATTTTTAATACGTTTGTGCTGTGTCAAGTGTTTAACGAGTTTAACGCGAGGAGCTTGGAGAAGAAGAATGTGTTTAAAGGGATACACAAGAACAGGCTCTTCGTTGGGATTATAGTAGTGACTGTGGTTTTGCAAGTTGTTATGGTTGAGTTTCTCAAGAGGTTTGCTGATACCGAGAGGCTGGATTTGGGTCAGTGGGGAGTTTGCGTGGCCATCGCGGCTGCGTCGTGGCCGATCGGATGGTTGGTGAAGTCTGTTCCGGTACCGGAGAAACACTTCTTTAGCTACCTGAAGTGGAAGAAGAGAGCATGAGGAAGCTATGATTTTTCTTTCTAGTATACTATTGATTTGTTTTTTTATATATAACTATTTGATCTGAATAACATTGAAAACGATTCTTTTACATAGCGTATATAGAGTGAAGATTCAGATTACAATCTTTTTAAAACGGGCCGAGATTGTAGTCTCCTTCGAGGCTGGCCAAAGCGATGAAATATCTCTCTTTCTCTCTCCATTTGGTACTTAACACCATGAAACGAACAGTGGAACCTTTCTGAATCCGAGACATGGTCTGATTCAAGAACATCGGGTTTTCTCCTGGAATGTACTCGTAAGTCGTAACCAGACATCTTGAAGTGGGATAGGTAAACATTTTCACAAGGGCCACATCTCAAGAAGACGCCTGTCTTGTGCACCATGTGCACCACACCGTGTACAATCTCTCCTTGGAAGATATTGAAGGTGATTCCGCTGAAAACTACAGGGAAGAGAATCTCGCCAGTGTTTTCCTTGATTTTGCCCTCACCGACTTTCTCGAGATTCTTGAGTGCCACAAAATAGCCAAGATCTTTGGTTGCTTTCTTGGAAGCAAAGGCATCTAGCAGGCGAATGAGAATAGCTCTCTTGATCATGAGGTGGCCGTTCGGGTCCAATTCTTCAGCTCGAATCATGACATTCCATGGCAGTTTGGCTTGGAGAAACATGTTTTCTCAGCCTGAAACTTTGAAAAAACATTCAGATTTCAAATCACACCAAGCGTTTTTTGCAACATGCTATCACAACGTTTGAGCAATTATGAAGGCGAATCGTCATGTCAAGGTTGATTTTTGCTAAGAGAATCTTAGTCAGAAGTAGTAATCAATAATCACATTTTTGATTTCAAGATTATGAATTCTACAGAAGCAAGCTACCAGTTTCTACCTCTCTACAGTAATTATACAGAAAACCCATTGTTTACATAAACGCTCAGTCAAGACAATCAGAATGATCAACATTAGGTTTTCTTTCAGACATTTAAATAAACAGTTTGCATTCATGTAAACATGCAAGTGAAACTCCACAAAAGAGTCAAAAAAAAAAAAAAAAAAATCATAAAGTTTCCTACTTTGCAATCCCCAACAAATCATCCTTTTTCTACCATAAGTTTAGCCACAATAGTATACCGAAGCGTGATAAATCATCGCTCTTCACAATGCCTACACGAAGTATATCTGAAAATTTAGCTTTAAAAATCAAAAGATTTAAGAAATTTTACCTTAAATTTTTCTAAAAGATAAAAGTTACCATAGAAATAGACTCCGGCAACAGACACCGATTTCCGCTTTAGCGACCTGAGATTGAACTTTCTTCCCAACTTTCTCTCTCGAAATGAGACGAGACCTTTGGTTTCCAAATTAATAGACCTTTTAACGCCCATATTAATACAAATGGGCCTAACCTAACTCATCTATTAATTTTTAAACGTTCCTTGTGTCTACAAATTTACCTGATTTTAATGTAGTCAAAATGGGAGATTCAAGCGTCTCTATACGAACTAGTACACAAATACATATATATTTATGAATAGTTGCATAGAAAAAAGCAAAAACTGCATTTTGTTGTACTTATTATATAAACACAATCGTTTCATATGGTACAAGTTTCATTCGGTCGTTGGAAGGAAGAAAAAAAAGACTTATTGTATTTATTTCGAAAATAGGTCCGGCCAGATTTATAAATAGGCTTTCTCCTATACAACCATGATTGTTGCCACAAGGCCTACCACACAAAGTTACAAAACCATACCATTTGAAACGAATCAATAAAGACAGCTTCTTTGTCTTTTTCTTTGTCTTAGTCTTAGGCCGTAACCACTTCCGGTAGTCTACCATTACCTGCCGGAGTCAAGCTGTCATAGTAATCAACCAGAACTTGCCATCCACCTGGACACATGAATCCGTCCGGAGGGTTTTCTTTGTTCTTTGCCAATGTGCGCATCTGATAAACCGACAACAATATATTTATTTTATCACAAAGGAGTAAGGACGATGGAGAATTCAACAATGTAGGAATCTGTTTAAGAGCTAGTGAAGTTACCTTAGTGCCGGATATGAACAAGAAGTCTTGAGGCCTCGAGGGATCGAAGAAAGCCATCTTGCCTTGCGTCTTGTCATATGCAGCAACCTGTCGTTTGGAATGAACCAAATATAAATAAATAATCATATCTCAACATTGCCAAGAAATAAAAGTGTGAATCTTTGAATTGGGTTTTCATATACCCTGAAAGGAAGGATGTTGAGTCGTTCAAGTCCAGGAGCCATGCTTAGTACTTTCTTTCCATGATCAGCATCGTAAAGATCACGTTTCTCTACTGGATGACCCATTCCAGCTGGATCACGACCCACAATGTAAAAGTTAGCACCAGCATTGATTCTAGCCTTTGCGTGCCATTGCACTTCGGTTGGACCAGCGTAATGCATTGGAGATGGGAATATCGAAACCACTGTTGTCTCTGGATCGAGAACACCATCCTCTAGCACCTGTTTTAGATTCATAAAACCCATTTAGCATTTCAAGAAAACAGCAAAATTTTCAAGGAAACACAAGCCATCAGTTTTTTCTTTACCTTCTCATGCTGCTTCATCCTCCAACTTAGAGGAACATCATCAGCCTTTGTGTAACCTCCTAATGGGTGAAGCAAAAGGATAGGGTTTTTGTATCCCATCTCAAGAAGTCTCCTACGAGTATCAGTCATAAGGAGTGCATGACCATTGTGAACCGGGTTCCTGAGCTGGAAAGCAAAGACAGCATCCGCATCACGCTTCTCTAGCTCTTTGCGGAGCTCAGCAGGTGAAAGCCTGAAACGGTCAAGCCCATCGTTGTACTTGACTGGCTCTAGAACCTCAAGATCACCACCGATCAGCCAGTTTCCGGCGTTAGTTATCGCCTCTTCTACATACGGCAAACCTGGTGCGGTTGTACCCCAAGTTCTGGCTATCCTTTCTTCCTTGGGATGCTTGTAAATCTCAATGCTGATCAATCACAAACAAGTTTGAGAAACAAGCTATATCGTATAGACTAGTTCAATCACGAATCTATATCATTGACTAATCTTCAAGACAAAAAAGTTGGATTTGAAAAGCCATGTTTCCACCAGATAAATGAGACCAAAATGAAATCTACAGATAAACCTTTTAAGACACTACCGTGATGCACAGCTTTTGTGTCTGTGTCAAACGAGTGACAGCTTAAGGGACGAATCAGATCTATAGACTAGTTTAATCATGAATCTATATCATTGACTAGCCTCAATTTTCCACTACTTGCTCATAGATGTTCAAAATCCCAATTGAAAACTCAGTTTCCTCCAGGATAATGAATTCGATCTAAACAATGGATGAGTGAAGGAGCAATTATGAATAAGAAACTTACTCGCTGAGGATAGCAACGGGATTACCGTCGGAATCAACAAGTGCGACGCGTTTAGACTCGCCGATCCGGGCCTTTTGCTCGTCGTCAATAGCGAGGACAATAGGCACCGACATGTTGACGACGGAGCCGTCGTCAAGACGCAGCGAGTTGAAATGAAGAGTTTGGAGGAACTCGGATTCTCTCATGAAACCTCCGAGTGGGCTTGCCCAGCCTTCGCTCAAGACGTGCATCCATTGCAGGTCGATCGCGGTCAGCTCTACGCGCGGCAGCTCCGCCGCCTCGTGCTTCTTCTCTCGCCGCCGTGGCTCCTCCACGACGAGCTCCACCAGCTTCCCGCCATCGGGCGCGATCAGACCAGCTCGGATTCCTCCGCGAAGGGTTCGCGATTTCGAAGGGAAGGAAACGGAAGCGGCGGTTGCGGCGGCGAAGGGGAAATCGGGATTGATAGATTTGGTTAGTGGCTGAGAAAGGAAAGCGGTTTTGCTGAGAACGGCAGCCATTGAAGCCATTGAAGGTTCTCTATGGCTGCTTCAATGGAGATTCCGTGAGACGGTGAGAGTGACGAGGAAGAGATTGAGAAAAAATGTTTGTTCCCAATTCAATTGGAAATGAAAATTTCGTTCTTATGGGGCTTTTATAGACTTAATGTTTGTTATTAGGGACCGTTTCTGCGAATATTATGTACCTAGACACTATTTATCACTAAATTAATTGTGAGTTAATAATTAAATAATAGAGTAATCTAAAGAATAACGAGGTTACCTTATTGGTATGGTGCAGAGTCATTGTATAATTAAATTGTGATAGTCACTCTTTCTTGTTTGTTATTCAACGTATATTATATTCTAGTCGTTAGTAGTATTACTAATGTTGTGTTCAAATTCTGATTTAAATACAGTAACGACAACTTGTCACTACCCATTTTGAATTCGAAATATAAACCGAAGAACAAAACATGAAAATTTAAAACCACATTGTTCCGCAATTATCCAATTGTATTTAAATGGTAGATAATGCGAATCTTTCATATATATATATTTTTTTGTTTTCTTATTATGTTTTCGGACATATAAGGAAATTCTTAATGCTCTTCTTACAGGACCAAAAATTAATGGTAGTTTTGTTGTTAAGGAAATAATATAGAATTAAAAGTTAGGAAAGGTGAGGTCAGTGTGTGGACCGATGCTACAGTTGAATATATCCAAGAATACGGTCAGGTTCGACCATTCGACCATCAATTTGGCTAATGACAATAACAACTTGGTAATAGTATATTTACACCACTCGAACTGCCACGTCATATCACGAATATTTATTTCCTTTTAGATACTTTTTCATTTTTTAAAGAATAATATTATGGCTAAAACATTATAAAAAAAAAAAACAAACAATTTATATACTCCAGAAAAATGGAGATGGAATTTCCAGAAATAAATAAATAAATAATCAATCTTCCTTCATTTTTTTTTTGCTTTATAAATCTAACAACTAAACTTTTTAGATTCAACTTAACAACTCTGATTTGTGTTAATTTATCTATTTTGTTAACCTTGTTTATTTTTTTTAATGTGTACGAAAAAAAACTCATTGCATCAACCCGATCGAGGATACTTTCGGACAGCCTCTATAAACATCTTTTTTGACAATATCAAAAATGAACTAGAATTGTCTTTCTATCCATAAACCATATATATGTGTACGATGCGAACGTGCAATGAACATTTTATTTTTACCCAAAGAAAAAAAAACGTACAATGAACATTATAACTTTTCAGAAACCTTTTGTCTCTCGATCTGTTCTTCCTTTGTCACCACATACTTTGTTTTGTACATTTTTTTTTTGCCAAATGATATTTGTTCCATATATTTGCTTGTACGTTGGCAACTGAATAAATAGTAGCATGTCGAAACTCGAATTTTCTTGTCAACGATACGAAAACTCGATTATAATATTCAATATTATATTAAAAAACAAAATCGATCGATCATAGGGGTGAAAATAGACGGGATGATGATACATTTCAGTGCGTTTATTTTTTAACAAAAGATTTATTCGTCGACTCATTGATTACTAATTATACAGAGCTCCTCAGTTTTGACCTGACCAGACTAATCTTGATTCTTGACCCGAAGCTACGCCGAAATTATCTATTTTAGTATTTTATTCTCTACTCATTTATCTATTTTTCTTTATATGTTGAATAATTGACTTCGCTTGCACACGTGGTAAATATTGTCGAAACTAGAAAGTTGGTAGACTGGTGGCTGATGAATAAACACTGATTATTCATTCTTTCACCAATTTTTCCATTTTATCAAATTTATTTTCAAGTTGTACTTCGGATCAGGTACGTATAAGTCTACTCTGAATACATTCGCAAACTTGTAATTATTTATTTAAACAATAGGTTAATACAAACATTTGACTAATTCAATTTTAATCTTGTAAAACTAAGGGAATTAAATAATTGGATAATGTAGCGCTTGATCAGTTTCTTGGTGGCTGGGACCTCACATTCAACATGTGTCAAATAAAAAACATACATGATCGACCTACCTGCTTTTCTCTCATAATCATTAACTTAATGAAATTAAAAATATAGTAAGCAAGACTTCAATTATTCAATAAAAGACATATATTCCTCATATCCAATGTTCGGGTTTCACCCATCACATGATCAGATGTTGTGTAGTATTGAATAAAGTTTGTAAAATAATTCCTAAATTTTATTTTCTGAACATAAAATTATATAATTAATAACAAGAATAATAAAACGACAATGAAAATCTAAAGTTTTGCAAAAAAGAATCAACATCTTCATATTATCCAACAACAGCAAGAAAGCAACCCACTTAATAAGAACCGGTTAACTCTTCAGATTAGAAATTTCCTCAACATCAGTTCCAGATTCCAAGTTTGGAACTACTTCTCTGCGAGATAGCTTTAATGCAACTTGATTTACCAAAAATTTATAGATTCGTGATTTACCAAAAATTTCTAACATAGTAAGCACGACTTATTCAACAAAAGACATATATTCCTAAGATCCAATGCTCACATGATCAGATGTTGTGTAGTATTATATAAAGTTTGTAAAATAATTCCTAGATTTTATTTTCTGAACATAAAATTATATAATTAATAAAAAGAATAATAAAACGACAATGAAAATCTGTTTTGCAAAAAAGAATCAACATCTTCATATTATCCAACAACAAGAAAGCAGCCCACTTAATAAGAACCGGTTAACTCTTCAGACTAGAAATTTCCTTAACATCAGCTCCAGAATCCAAGTTTGGAACTACTTCTCTGCGAGATAGCTTTAATGCAACTTGAGCTTGAGACAAAGAATTAGCAATGGCTTTATCGTATGTAGCAAAAGATTGAGCTTGAGACAAAGATTCTATGCAACTTAAGATCTCATAATCTCTCGCTGCTTCAGCCCATTTCTCCATCTACAATTTCACAGGAAAAACCTTAGGGAGCAAGAGAAAAGTCAAAGCTAAGTCACACTATATAGATCTTACGTACCTTGATGTAGAACAGTGCACTTTGAATCAATTCAACCTTCTTCTTGAAAATTTTAATTTCAATATTATGTGGATCCAACTCTGAAGCTTTCGCTGCAGCTTCAGCTGCATCATCTAACCTGCAAAATTTTGTCATCTTATCTTTACTATTATTTATCCAACATAACAGTATATTAAAAATAGTCAGCAATAGTATATAGCAAGAGCTCACCTTCCTAGAGCCAAATCCATTTGAAATTTCACAAAAAATGTGTAAGCTACACAGATCATGTCGAAAAACCGAGTCCGTGAGAAAGAGGCTGGGAATGGTTCAACGTTGGGGACATCTGTTAGTGCTGCTTGAGCCTCATCAAGCCTTTGGAGTTTCAGTAGTGCTTCAACTTTACACATAGCTAGCTACAGATGAGATATACGTCTTTTTTGTGAGATATGTAAAACGTTTGTTTCTGATTCCTCATAAAATAACACAAGATTAGTTGTTCTTTACCTGAGGAGACCAAACGGCTCCAGACACAATAGCTGCACTTGCTTCTTTCAAAACACTAGTCCAGTCCTCGCGTCTCCTTGCATTAGTGCAATATTCGTTCAATGTTTTTCTACTTGCTTAAGCATGTTCAAGACACGACTGTTCAATGGTATTAATCCATGCTTTCTCGCATTATCGACCTGACCTAATCTACAACCAATTTAAAGAGACAAATGATTAGTTTGATAAACTTTCTCTATTGTTTGAAAATAGTGTAAAAGTGAATCAATGACTACCTAAGAAGAAACAAGGCTAAACTTTGACGAGCCATTTCAAAATATGGATCCAACTTTATGCCTTTTTCACACTGGCTCACAGCTTCCCCGATCCGTCCCAATCTAGACAATGCAAGTGCTCGATTTCTATGGTACATTCCATTATTAGGTGAGAGCTCTATTGCTTGATCGTAAAAATTCAAAGCCTCTGTGAAACGACCTTTGCGGTACATTTTGTTTCCACTTGAGTTGGTTTTTAATGCAGAGAAGAACCGACGTAACCAACCAAAGGAACTGCAAGAGGCAGAGCGATTTGGTTGACCGGATAAGAGTTTTTCATGTTGAGACGACTAGGTTCAGGATCAAGAAGCTTATTATCTTCCGAGCTCATTGAGTCCCAAAGGTTGTTATCTACGAGTTTATTGGGCTTCAACATTGCCTCTCTGCAAGATTACAAAAAGAAAAATAACCGATAACGATTGCTTGAATCTCAAACTTTTCTCTAGGGTTTCTCTCGCGAAAACAATTAAGAGCAATGACTGTTTTTTTTTTTTTTTGGATTAAAGCAATGACTGTCAATGACTGATTGACTGTTATACGTTCATATTATATATTAGAGTCGAGAGAGAGAGAGAGAGAGTCTTATATACGTAGTGATGATGCCAATGAAAAACAATACGAAAAAGCCAGATGTTTTACGAAAATCGCCAACAAACTCAAAATCTATAAAAATCGTCTCTTCAACACATAAAATATCGAATTTAGGTTATAAGTAATCGAAGTTTCGATGAATCCTAGATTAGAAAACAAATCAATTTACCTCATCGTAGTTTCTCCTCGTAGTTTCTCCTCGTCACGAATGAGAAAGCAGAATTTGGGATGATCGTTCCCTAGAAAACACAAAACCTTTCGTTTTACTCTGTTTTTTTGGTGGGTACGTTGTTAGCGTGCGTTCCACACATTCATAATATTAGGGTTTTATAACCCAAAATAGGTTTGTTATTATTCTTCTTTTCATATATCCGGAAAATTGGTTTTTTCCTCCGTAAACTATGCAAAAGTGTTAAATTTAAACCTGATCTTGTATCCTGTGCTAAAACGTTCTCAAATTTTAAATAATATGAATTTTATACCTAAACTTTTCTTTTTGTGCGTAAAACACCATTCGATTAAACGCTATTCAAACTCTGTTAAATCTAGTATATGTGGCATCCACGTAAACAGTTACATCAGATTTTCAAAATCTGAGAAAAAAAAACAAATGACATCATTTGACTGCCAGAGATCTTGAGATTTGGTCCTAATTTCTCATCGGCGTTTTTTTGCCAGGCA